GAATATACGATAGCGTTTCACGTATCCATAAATAGGGATTCGATTCAGGGACTGATTCAGGGAACTACAATTTGTGGCAAATGATAACCTACCTTTTTTTTTGTTTTTATTTCATAGAAAATAAATATTGTTTTCTTTGAATAATTCTTCAATAAAATGAATAAATAATTTCATAATAACATTTAGAAAGAGGTCGTATCAACAATCATATTTATTCGAAAATATTTTTCTCAATCTTTTTTTTCTAGTAAAAAAAAACCTGAAAAATGATCTGATACTAATTCTAATGAACTGCAGAACACGTTTTTGACAATATTATTCTATTGTTTTCGTCGAATGGTCTCATCATAAAAATTCTATATTTATCTCTGATCATCATGCACCATTTATTAACAAATTCTTTCGTATAAAATTGAACTTTCCTTTAAACTCAATCAAATAATAAGGAATAATTATTTAAAGATTGAATTTATTTTGTCAATAAACAAGGAAATAAAACTCATTTACTGTTTTTAACATTTAATCGTCAAAGTAAATAGTAATTCTTTCTATTCGCCTAAATTTTTAAATTTAATTTTATATCATTTGAAATAAATCTTTTAGAAAAATTAAAGAAAATATATTAGAAAAACATTTGAAAAAATTTTCTAGTAAACACTCAAAAATATCTATCAAAAATCATTTGTATTCAATTCAATCAATTTCTCCAAATGACTTGTGAAAAAAAATTCTTCTATTGAAATTTATCTATTTAAGACAATTTAGAATGACTTTCAAATAAATCTCTATATTTAAAATTAAATTTTTGTTCAATTGAACCTTTTTTCAATATTATTTCAAATGAATTTTCATTCAAACGATTATGAACAAAATTCGAAAAAAAAACCAACCAAAACAATGTTTATTATAATAATTTAACGAAAGATAAGAGATAAATTTCATAAATATGGTTTTTTTCTCCTTGCAAACAAATAAAATTTTCTATCATATATCATATTAAAGGCTATTCAATAATAAAAAGAAAGAATAAAAAGGTCATGCTATTTTTCATTGTTTTTCGTTCATCATCTAATAAGACAATTGAAAAAAATATCATTGTTTTCATTGACGATATCGGTCAAATTAAAATCAATGAATAGAACACATACATATATATATATATGTCAGCGTCCATACTCGGATTCCGTCCAATCTCAGATTCGCCTGAAAATTGAGCGTACAATCTCAGATTGGCCTAGGCGAATCTCAGATTGACCTGATGAATTTACGTCCAATCCGAGATTGGACGGAATCCGAGTTTGGACGCCAACATATATATATAGTATTAGAAAAGTAGATATATATTGATCAACAAACATGAATGATTTGTTGGTTCAATTGGATGATTTACCTGATGAAATTCTTATGTATATATTTAAAAAATTGTACAATGATGAAGTGCTTTATTCTTTAATGGATGTTAATCAACGACTCAATAGAATTCTACATGATAGAATCTTTACTCGTCATTTACGTTTACTAAAATATTGTCGAATCGACAATTCTACCATTCCATTACCAGATTCAATACTTCATCGATTTTGTTCAAAAATTTTACCTAAAATTGGACATCAAATTGAAACTCTTTATCTTGAACGAACATCGATAGAACGTGTTCTTCATGCTACAAATTATATTAATTTAAAGAAACTTGGTTTATGTGATATTCAATACAAAGATGCTATGTCTCTATTTACTGGTAAGAGATTTTCTTTTATTGATTTCACTGTAAAATTAATTAGTTACTGGAATAACAACTTATTTAGTTAATAGAATTAAATATTTATGATTAACTATCATCGAATAATAGAAATTCATTTTTTATTTCTCTTTTATTTATTAGAAAAAAAAACATATCATTTATAGGAATTTCATTACGAGAAAAAGGATTTAATCGTTCATTTGTATAAGAAAAAAAAGATATTGATAATATACTCAATTGAAATTTGTCAAGATTAATACAGGAAATGTAGAAAGTCTAGAAGATAAACAAATCAATGAATGAGATAGAACACAATATTAATCACATACAATGTAATCTATGAGAGAAGTTAAAAAAAAGAACATCACATATATGGGTGAGAATGTTGTGAAAAATACAAAATCTTAGATATTTTAATTGAATGAATAGAAAGAGATCTGAAAAATATTTTCATTTTAAACTTTTATTTAGAGAAGAATCCTTTAACCCATATATTCAAAAATCAAATTAGATCACTCTTTACCAGTTTTAATAAAGAAAACATATCGTCTCCATTGGGAGGTCTCTCTCCAATTATATTTACAAAAATTTTGACAATATTTACTAATTTACAATGCTTAAAATTCAATCCATCGGCATCTTATCTTGACGCTTCAGTTTTACATATGGCGGATGAAACTGCCATCTGTTCAACTTTATTAGAATTACATATCACTGTGGCAAATATGGAAGACTGTCTTTATATATTGGATGGACGTTTTGATCAACTTCGTATACTTTATGTTACTTTTTATGGTAGCTTTCCTGGCTTTTTCAACATTGAACATAAGGTAGGTTATTTTTATTAATATTTTGTTTAAATGAATCCATATTTGTTTCCATTGTTCAGGAAAAGCTACTACCAAACTTACGGATTTTTTCTTTGTACTGCAAGCGCCAGATAGATGATTTTGATGAATCAATTGTAGCACTTCTACGTCGAATGTTAAATTTAGAAGAACTTGATTTAAATATTCAAGTTCAATGTTATGAAAAATTTATTGATGGTGATACATTGAAGAAAGATATTATTATTTATATGCCACAATTATATAAACTCACATTTAATATTTGCTCAATAATTAATCATCGTGATCAAACTATTTTTCCATTAAATGAAGATATTCAAAAAACTTTTAAATATTTTTCTAATAATCAAATAATTACTTGTATTGATCATTTTCAAGAAGAAGGATGTAGTCAATGTCATATTTATTCATATCCATATAAATGGAAAGTTTATAATTATATAACAAATAATTTTCCAGGTGGATTATTTACTAGTGTTACTCAAGTATCATTATATGATGAACGTCCATTTGAACATGAATTTTTTCTTCGAATTCAAAAATCATTTCCATATCTGAAAGAATTAACAATAAATAATCGAAAAGCACAAAATAACAAACAATTAATAAAATTAAACAACGATTATCAAATATTGTCAATTATTGAATATCCATACCTTACTCGACTTAATATTATTAAGACTCATGATGATTATGTTGAATTTTTTTTATTTGATACGAAAATCTCTTTGCCAAATAATCTTCATCTATGTGTCGATTATCAATCATTGAAAAGAGTGACATACGATTTTACAAGATATATAACACGAAATCATTCTTCAAAACTTGCTGCTCTTTATTTGTCTACATTGGATCAAATCGATGAACATATTAAAAACTATTTTCCTCATGCATATTTCCGTTGTTTTGCTGATTTTGTATTATCTAACTAAAAAAAAGAAAAATAGATTTATTTTATATGGAATGAAACGATTGAAAGAGACAAAAGAGAATGAATAAAGGTAACAATTTCAAAGAAAAATCAAATAACAGATAGAGTTCCATCCAAAATTGATTGTACAACTGAGAAATAAGCTTCTATATTTACAATAGATCTTGAATATTGCTTAACTATTTGAATTTTAAATGTTCCATCATTATATAGCTTATCTATGGTATTGATTTTACAGATCAATTCTTTCTATCTGTCAATGAAAGGTGTTCACAGAAGAGAAAAGGATGATATCTTCGACGATTTTCTTTCTAATGTCCTACATGAAAAATGCTTAATTTTTATTGTCAATTCCTATTTATTCTTCTCACTAGTCAAAATAAATAACATTTATTGGTAAAGAATATACGCAAGCCTAAAAAAATATCAAATGAATTCCTTCAGTCACCTTGTGTTTAAAAGATGGTCTATTCAACTTTGACAGAAGATGATCGATTTTAGTTGGAAAAAATTCTATAGTCATTTGTTCAAATGATTGACATTAGCTCCTTCTATAATAAAAATATTAGATTTGGTTCATAGGTAAAAATAAGATAAAGATAATGATTTTTTCTTTTATGACATTTTAATAGAAATCAGAAGAAAATTCTATTTTATATGTTAAATATATTTAAGATAATATGAATTCTGAATAGTTCAAATATGCCAAGTATTTATTGACGAAAGAAAAGAGAGAACACTAAGATCTTCTTCTTCGGTAGAAAACAATAAAGATCATATTGATTTTAATTAAAATAAAAATCAAATTCATAATATGTTACATATAATTAACTACTGGATGGAAAATGATTTATATAATGTGCAAGTGCTAATAGACTTTTAAACATAGAAATATCTTTAAAAATCCATATTGTATCATCTAAAAGATATCTCGCATGATATTATCACAAATAAATTGGATGTAAGAAATTTCGAATATGTCCATCATTAATTAAATCATCTGTTACACACAAGTAAATATGTATTTCGTATGTATAATAAAACTAGTGGATCAATATAGCGATGATAAATTATTGACAAATATATAAAAACGACTATTATTCAACATTTATTATTTGAACATTAGCAATAAAAACAGTTTGTGCATATGTTTATGATATACAAGTATTTAATGAAAAATAAAATTCTTCATGAAAAATATTTCGAGGAGATTTATTTGATGAATTATCTAATAAATAAATGAGAAAATGATTGAACAAATTCTTGATTAAGACTATTTTTGTCTATTGATTTTAATATTAGAAATGAGATCTAGATATTTCTGCAAAACATTTCTTTCAATTTGAATCAATATAATGAAAATAAAACAATAAGTAGATGCAATATTTCTTCTTTTCGTCTTCTTTTATTTTATAAATGGAATAAGACAGACGAACAAGGAACAAAAAGAGAGACAGAAACACAAGAAAAAGAATCTCGATCATTTTTTTAATTTATTTAAAATGCTTACAACTCTCTTCAACATATCTAATGTTGAAGTTAGTACAGATGCGCCTGAAGCATCAATTGCTAGATTATCGTTTGACAAAAACTGAAAGTGTTTCATTAAATCATTTAAATCTTGACTCTGAGCAGCACCGCTTAATAAAACAATCTTTTTATATTGTTGAATAGCTGTTTGAAATGATGTTTTTGTTAATAATTTATCAATTATTGGATCTATAATTGATTCATTTGTTGTATATCCATATAATAATAGTGACCATTGTTCAGGTGGCATATAAAAACCTTTAACATATAAAAATATTTATTATATATAACTTGAACAAAAAAAAGTATATTTACCACATTGCATAGCCATTTCAATAATTTTTGAATCATATACACGGCGAAGACTTTCATATTTTTGAAATGCTGGTTTAAGTTGCATTGATGAAGATTCTCCAACTTGTTCTATCTAATATTAAAATAAAACCTTCAGCTAGAATCATTTCTTTTTTTTTTATTTTTATATATTTACTTCAAAGCAAGGTACATCCAAAAGTAAACGTACAATATATTCAACACTTGGTTGAATGTTTTTTTGATCTTTTCGTTGTACTAATTGTGTAACAGAATACATAAGATGTTGTTCGGATGATATTCCACTACATTTAATTAATAGAATAATTAATTTTAATATCTTTTCTTCTATTGCTAAATCAATAAACAATGATTAAGATTAGGAAAAAAAATTAATTTGAAAAAAAAAATCAAACCTGGTTCAGGAAATTGACCTTGTTGTAAACCAAGAGCCGACTCAAGATTATTTTTTAATTCTTGAAGACTTTGATAATGAAGAATAAAATCAATACATACATTTTCACCAAGATTACGTGCTGCTTGAATAAATATTAAAAAACCTTCATTATTAATATATTGACTATGTAATAAACTAAACATTGTTCGTATCGTTGAACGACTGAGTATTGATTGATATTTTTTATTATTAACTAAAAAATAGTCACATAAAAAATGACATAAACTTTTCTTTTTCTTCTTACTTATTTGCATAATTACAAGTGATATTTCACCAAAACCTTTTTCAATATCACTAAAATATGATTTTTTTTGATCATCGAATTCCATATAAGATCGACATTGACCCTAAAGTTGTTTATGATCTTTTCCCTAGACTGAAAGGCTAGGGTCTAGAAACCGAAATTCACCTGTGTCTGTCTGTCTGTCTGTCTGTCGGTAACGCGGCCGAAATGGCCATTTTTTTGGCACATGTGACCATTTTTTTGGCGCAAACGACCATTTTTTTGGCACAAGCGACCATTTTCTTGGCACAAACGGCCATTTTTTTACTAAAATTAACTAGGTAACTATGGTACAAATGAGCATGTAACTATGGCACAAACGGTCATTTTTTTGGTACAAACGACCACGTAACTATGGCACAGGTGACCATATAGCAACCATAGTACAAACAACTATTCCGGTAACTATGGCACAGGTGACCATATAGCAACCATGGTACAAACAACTATTCCGGTAACTATGGCTCAAATGACCATCTAAAGACTGATGTAAATGAACCCATAAAAATCATCGATAAAATGTGTCAATGAAATAACTATAATTCGGGTAGTGGTGTAAAACGGCTTACAAAAGCATTTAATTAGTCAGAGTCAGACCAAATGAGCAGTATGGATTTAAAGAAATCGTTTAAATTATTCATTATTGTAGGATTGATTGTGCAATGTTGTATCAATGAATATCTAATTTATTAATAGTTTAGAATTAATGCGCGAATTGAAGCATAAAATATTGATTAATAAAACTCAAATTTTATGAATAATATAATTCATATTTTTGTACGTACAAATAGCGCCAATATAATTACAAAAAAAATCGTATTCTTGTCTAATCTTATTGAGCGCTATTTATATTTATAAAAGCAAAAAAAAATAAAACAAAAACGACAAAAAAAATAAAATTTGTAAAATGCATTATCTTTACTTAGAGTGAGAATTCTCCGAATTAAGTTTTCTGCTCGCCTAAGATATACTGGTTATATTATCAATTTTGCGTATTACTTTTTGAATGTAGCTTTTTATGCTATTACATCCGTACATGTATTCTATCAGTCTAGGGCTAAGTGAATCGCTTGACGATGAACGTTACTTGTAGGTAACTATATTTAAATAAAAAGAAAAAAGAAAAAAATCTTTTTTAGTATTTAATAATTAATTTAAATATTTACTTCTGATGAACGATAAATCATCATTAAGAATGGATAATTTGTTGGTAATTGATCAATTGGTGTATTTCCAAATGAAACTTGATCTTGTGGACATTCTTTTTGACCACCCATTATATTAATACATTGTTTACACATTGTATGCCCACATTTAGGTAATGTTATTGGATGATATAATGGATTTTCATATTCAAAATTTTGTGAACATGCAGCACAACGTAAAAATTCCATATAATATGATCGAACTGTTGGTTTTGAAAGATCCATTTCTATTCAATATCTAAAAATAAATAAAGAAAATGTTTGTTATTAGAGGATCAATTCTTTCGGAACTTTCTGAATCTTTATTTCAAAAAGGAATACACACACACACACACACACATAATGACTAACGACTACATATAACAAGCACATCCTGCATTTCTCGTTCGAAAGAAAATACACCTATACATATAAAGGGTGGTCCAGAAGTCCTGACTCGATTTGAATATTAAATTTTTCTTTAGCAAAACACATGGTTGAAAATTTGTCTCTATAAAGAAAAGATGCAGTAAAACACGCTCTACAAAATGGCTTTTGATTGACCCTGCTAGCTCATATAGTAAGAAAGTTATAGGCTTAGAGATGTGCTTCACAAAAAAGAAAAATTAACCATGAACCTTCTCCGTATGATCTGCTTTAAGTAAAAGTCCCGTAACTTCATCAAACGAAAAAAATTTTCGATCAGGTTTGTTCTGTTTTAATCAGAAATGATTGCTCTTCTCTAACTAACTACAAAATCAAGCTTCCATCAAGTTTTCTGTTTCTTGCTTGGGTATATTGTCGGGAACGGGGTTTGCCACTTTTGAGACTTCATTCTCGAGCACACCATCTGCTCTAAAAAAGTCTTTCTACAGACCAGGAGAAATAGTACATTCAAATCTATCGAACTCAAACTCAGTTCTCACTTTTGCTAAGCTTCTTCACGGAAATAATAAGAGAAGAAAAAGTTTCGGTTGAAAAAAATACCGAATTTACCATGTTTTCATTTTTTTTCGTCTGCCATATAATTTCCTTAGTTTTCTTGATTGAAGTTCTGAAATAAAAGTTCACGTATGTTTTTGTAAAGAATTTCATGGCGCTTCTATTAAAAAAACGAATTTGTTCTAGGCGACCTATGGAACAGGAGTTCGAGCAAAAATACCGATATCGGGTTCACCGTTAATTTTTCTTTTTTGTGAAGCACATCTCTAAGCCTATAACTTTCTTACTGTATGAGCTAGCAGGGTCAATCAAAAGCCATTTTGTAGAGCGTGTTTTACTGCATCTTTTCTTTATAGAGACAAATTTTCAACCATGTGTTTTGCTAAAGAAAAATTTAATATTCAAATCGAGTCAGGACTTCTGGACCACCCTTTATGTATTATAAATCCAGGGTAGAAAAGAGAAGAATGAAAGACAACAAAGAGAAAGTAATATATATGATCGTATGATATGATGTAAGAAGAAAGAATGGTATGATATTGAAAGACGAGAAAAAGAGAAAGAAGAATAGCTTTCAAGGCAAGTTGTTTTCGTGTATTTTTATTTAATAAATAAATAAATCGTACTTAGTAGTTAAAATAGATGACTTATTGCATATGTGTTGTAATAATGATGTCAGATAAAATTCTTTCTTTTTATCATAACTTAGTGAAGAAATAGATAGCAGAGAGAGAGAGAGAAAGAGAAGATGAGGATGCCGGCGAACGTATATGTGTTTTCACTTTCTCTCTCTCTCTCTCTTTCTTATTTCTTTTGCTTCACGTATATGAGATGATACTTCTAATTAGTCGTAGAACATTTTCATAGAATATATAATTGAATTTGTTCTGCTATTTGTCATGTATCTGTACATTACCGTTTTAAAGATAATCCAGATAGAAAATTAATGAAAACGACACTTAGCTTCTTTTTTTTATTTAATTAAAAAGAAAAAGGAAAAAAAAGAAAACAAAGTTTTCCTTTTTTTGAATTTTTCTGTAGTAAAAAATTAATTTTGTTTCCAAAAATTGGCATTTTCTATAATAGGTCATTGTAAATTATAATACCATGTTTGAATAATACTTAATGGAACAGTTTGTTCCAATATTTGAGAGAAACATTTTGAAAAAATAATCTTATATAATAAACAAAATTATTGAAGCATTTTTGATAGAAATTCAATATTTAATGTAACTGTTCATGGTGTTATATTATGTTGTTGAACTTCTTGTTCAAATTATGCTAAAGGTTCAATATTTATACCTAATAAACCATCACTTGGAATAGTTGTTTGAATGTTGAAACTGCTAAATAGTGTTGATATTAATGATGAACAAGCTCTCGATCACATTATCTTATATACAAAAAAAACAAAAAAAAACAATACTTTAAAAAGAAAACCTTTTATTTTATCGATTTTAAAGATTTCACTTGGTTTTGAATTCTTTATTTTTTGTAGATAAATCTATGATTGTCCTTTAATACTTGACCAACTAAAATAAAATAAAAACGAACAAAAAAAAAGTATCGATAAAAAATAGATGGGTATGACCAAACGTTATGGAATTTCGTTTGTTTACATTGTAATACCTGTATCTCCTCAGTAGTAAAAGCTAACTCTTTGAAATTTTTATCATAGACAGAGACTATTAAGTTCTACTACTAGTAAAATTTCATCGGCTTTTTTCATAGCTAGAGTTAAGTTATTCCAAACATAGTGACCGTTACGGAATTTCAAAAAAAATGGAATCTTTTTTGAGGATGATGTGAAAGTTGAGCATTTTACTAAGAATCGGAGTGACATATAAATAACTGTTTTACGTACGAATTGTTCAGTTCTCCACAAGCTATCATAATATCACGTTGTTTTCTAACAACTATGACTGCATAGAATAAAATCTAAAAATACTGTTCGTTACGAAATTTCACCTTTTTTTTCACGTTTCAAAGCCGAAGGTTTGAGGACCTGAAATTTTTCAATTATCATGATAAAATTATATCTTTCTCCTGAGTTACCAGCAGTACAAAGACGTAGCTTCTCAAAAGAGATACTTTTGAAAGAAAGCTAACAGCTACTTAATGGTTTTCTACAGCTACTTAATGATTCTACAGCTACTTAATGAATTCCAATAGCTACTAAATGATTCTCTACAACTACTTAATGATTCTACAGCTATTTAATGAATTCCTATAGCTACTTAATGACTTTTTATACCCACTTTATGGTTTCCTGTAGATACCTAATCATTCTACAGCTACATCAAGTTTTGCTTTAATTATTAAGACATCCCACGTTTATTTTAAGTTGGTGTGCGTATTTGGAGTTTAGATAACGATTAAAAGACTCCGTAACCATTTTAACATACTACAGTGGTTAAAAACCTCGTGGATAATTATAAAAACCATTGTTATTTATAAACTAATTGCCATTTAAACGATATGAAATATTTCCTTCATTATTTATAGCTATTATAACCTTTTCATGGCTATAAATATGATTTCTTAAATATTGAAAAGCTTTATACTGACGATTATTTGACTAGCTAATAGATCTCTAAGATATTTGTATTTTTTGCCTGTGGCTCACAACTTAATATTGTGCTCTCTTTCTTTTCTCGCTACTATGTATAGTTAAAATATTTATCATTAATCTCACAAAGAATCTATTTCTGAATGGCTCATAATATTATGAAGAAGAATAAATGAAATATTTTGAAAAACCAATATGCCATAAAAGTCATCATTTTTAGAATTTTTTTAAAACCAAATAGTAAACAAAATTATAAATATTTGAATTCTTTATTACAAACCAAATACCGATTCCAATTACGAATATATGAAGTTTTATTTCATAAAACGCTTCACTGATATAGATTAAAGAAATCAATATTTTTCTACAAACCAAATAGACATTGAAGCTATTAATATTTAGACTTTTTTGACGAACCTCTTGCGCTAATTAAAGTATTAAAAAGTAATTCAATTCATAAATATTTTTATGAACCCAATACGAATTCAAATTGTGAACACTGAAGTTTTTTATTTGAATTTTTTAAGAAACCTAATGATGAAACTTAATCATTAATACGAAGTCAAATCATAAATATTTGAATTTTTCCTTCAACCATCTCCCTGCTCAAACTATATCATTAATAAGATTCATTTTATGAATATTCGAATATTTTAACGAATCCAATAGCTATTTATATTTTGAATATTTGGATTTTTCATCAAAACCAAATTAAAATTAAAATTATGAATATATGAATTCTCCCCACTTCAACCGCCCCATCATTAGGTAGCTATAGAAATAACTCGACATTTTTTTATTTTATATTCAAATTGATTATTTCTTAAATCTTGAAAATGAAAGTCATGATAATGATAAATTATGTCCAAGGAAAAATACAAAGAAGAAAAATCGATTTGTCAATCATATAAATTATTCTTCTCATATACAAAAATTATTTGGTGTTTCATAATTAAAGTATATCAGCATAAAATGTAGTATAATAATAACCATCTGTTCCTGTTAATAACGCTTGAAATGATATAGTATAAGTTGATCCAGGTGTAGTTGGAAAATATTGACCCAAAAAATCAATATCAGGACCAAGACAACTGTCCGAGAAACAATTACCAACTCCTGAATAACAATCTGTACCGGATATTAATTTTCCACTTGTACCATAATGACAGTGAGATGAACACCATTGTGTCCAATCAGATAGTGATGTACTTGAACTTTCAAAACTTGGATTGTTAAGTAATTGAACAGAAGGAGCAGCATTATCAACAATTGATACTTCATCGATAAGCCATGTACGATTGATAGCTGCTTTAAATCCAAATATAAGAATATGTTGTAAGCTTGTTGCTGTATATGTATAAGAATAAAGAGTCCAAGTAGATGAAGCATAGCCACTTAATAATCCTAGATTGCCATGACCACGACTCGAACATCGAGTTGCTATTCATTAATTGATAATTTCTAGAAAAGTTCTTAAAACTAAGAATGAACACTCACTTGTTTCAGTAGTAGTAGTTGTTGTTGTAGTCGTAGTATCAGTCGTGATACTTGTAGTTGAAGTAGTTTCTGATGTAGTTGATGATGTACTTGATGATGTACTTGATGATGTGGTAGTTGTTGTATCTGTAGTAGTTGTAGAACTCGTGGTAGTTGTTGTAGAGCTCGTGGTAGTTGTTGTAGATTTCGTGGTCGTTGTTGTAGAACTCGTGGTAGTTGTTGTAAAGCTCGTGGTAGT